CTTACGCTATTATAAATAATGATTTTTAATACTTTAGAGAGCACCGCCTCTGTACTAGATGTTGTTCTGTGCCCTTTACGTATATAAATTCATTCATCCTCACAACCATGCTACTGTACTGACATCGCCATTCTATCCATGGGCAAAGTAGGGCAGAGCCAGTTTCTCAAGATCGCACAGCAGAAAGTAGCCAGGATTCTAACACAGGCTGGCTCCAGTCTATGGTCTTAGTTGTGACATTATACCTCCTCTGGAATCTTTATGATGTTTTGTAAATAGAGTGACCAGAAGAATCTTTTGTATAATTCAGAGGTGCACTGTTTATCTTTTGACAAAATGCTGAAGAGTTATAAAAATCGCAGATATTCTCCGTTGTTCTTTTACAAAGTGACGAGTGCTGAAAATTTATTGAAAATATATTGACTTTGCGTGTGAAGAAAGGGGACTACCTAACAACCATAAAAAAAAAAAAATCAGGACAAAGGTGATATAGAAAGAATGAGGAAGTAACTAGTTTTCAAGAGAAACATCCTATGGAGAAAGTATTTTTAAATGCATGTTTGGCCATGATTTCCTTGTTATGTGATACCGTTGCTAAAAACAATGAATGAAAAGCTGTCACCTATAAAAACCTCAATCGATGTGTTTAAACTTAGCAACAGAATTTTCTAGTCTATTGAAAAGTCTTCTAAAAAAAGAGCTTCCGTGGGTTTGAAATCTGTTTGTTAAAGATACAATACAGGGATGTGTCCTCTTCAGTTTAATTTGCAAAACCCCTGTTTACCAGGGAAGATGAAAAATTGTTAGCTGGATTTCAAAACACAGACTAGCCCATTTGTATAATTGTCAAATGGGATTAATGGAGGAGAATCATGACTTATTAAGCATAGACAGTGATACTTTGCTTTCATTTAGATCTGCATATTCTGTAAGTTATATTTTTTCAATTTGTCAATTATGACCCTTAAAATCAAGCCATTAAAGCCAAGAATGGTAATAAACTTAATTTAGGTCTTGAACTTTGAATAGATATTCTGCAAAATAGTAAAACAATCCTTTCAAAAATTAATCGGTTGTCATTATATTTGTGGAAAACATTAATTTTAACTTTTTTTGCTGAAATTATATATGCAGGGAAAATGCAAATCGAGACCGTAGTGAGATACCATTTTATGTCAATATGGTTGGCAAAAATTAAGATATTTTATAATGCCAAGCGTGGAAAAGGACGTGACTCCACATCATCTCTTATACCTTGCCCGGGGAAGTATAAATTGGCGCAGTCACTCTGGCATTCTCTTATACCACCCCCAGGAACACATTCACTCAAGGGAAACTCTGACACCTTTTAGAAAGCTTATAGATCTTAGCAACAGTGGACACAATAGCAAAGACCTGGCAAAGGCCCAAGCGCCCATGGACAGGAGAGTAGATGGATACAATGTGGTACTTTTACACGGTGGAATATTAAAAATTAGTTAAAATGGGTGAGCGATGACAGCAATTAGGATGATCTTAGCAAATAATATTAAATGGGGAAAAAAGTAATTCCTGGGAGATTCCATACTCTTTTGCTTTAAAAATTAAAATTGTATATATTTTTAGGACTACATGGAAGTGCAGTAAGACTTATGAAGACAAAAAGCAAAGGAATGAAGTATGTAGGATTCAGGTTGATGGTTATTAAATTGGGGTGGGGGAAAGGTGGGGAGGGGACATCGGGAGAGATGTAGGTTGTGGTTAAGGTCCTAGTTTTGAGGGGGTAGGTTCTCTGGTTCTTATTATTTAAATCTGGAAGCAAACAACCCAGCCAATGCAGGCTAACAACAGATCGGTAATGATAATGCCATCACGTGCTAAGAATTGATTACTCCCATTGTATACACCGGGGGTGAAGTGATACACACACCCCAGCAGTATAAAGGGTTGTCCGATGTCTCCCACCCGCGACCCTCTTTTGCATCCCGGCTTTCAGCTTTCCCAGAAGCAACCACTGTCCCCAGTTTAAACTGTATCTTTCTCAAATGGAGACGCAATAAACATGAACACGTGTATTTTCAAACGTCCTTACAAATATATGTAGCTAGACACACTCCCCAAAGAAAACTTTAAAAAATTATTTTAAACAATTTTTAAAGTCTCGGAGATTTAACCTCAAGTGACTTCAACCAGCATTACACAGACATCCCTAAGTTGATTTAGAACCTGAAAATCAACGGGACATTTGAAGAAAACCCATCAGCTTTTGAGAAACGTAAACAATTCAGTAAAAACGTTCTTCTCGCAGGCCCTGCCCCGGGGTCTGCCCACCGTCATCTCGCAGAAAGTCGTATCTCGGACGCTGCTGAGCCCCACAGGGCCCGCGCAAGTGGTCTTCCTCCAACCTGCAGAACTGTCCCGCGGCGCCGGGAAAATACAGATTCTCGGGCCCCGCCCCAAGGATGCAGAGCAGAGCCTGGCCGGGTCTTTCTTGACAAGCTCCCACGTGATTCTCAGGTTCGGGCAGGCTTGGGGCGCAGCCCCGTCTTAAATAACTCCCCAATTCGAAGCAAGTAAACACCCGGGGACGTAAGTGGCTCTCTCGCTCCCTGTTGGATGTCGTTCATGTGGTGCAAGGAGGGGTCCCCCTTGGGTCTCATCGAGGTCCCAGCCAGTCTGAGCACGAACGCCAATTAGCTCAGCCCCCCAGGACCTCGGCTCAGTCCCCTGCTGGGCGGGCCCGGCGCCCCGGTTGGCCCCACTGGCCTCTCCTGTGTGGTCCTGGACTCGGTGCGCAGCCGCCGGGCGGGAGCCGGACGAGCTGCATAAAAATACACGTTCCCGAACCTGCATTTTCACCCGGCCCCTCCCGGAGCAGCGGTTCCTGCAACTAGAAACACTCTGGTCTTATTTAAATTTTAAATTTGAATGTGCAGCCAAGGTTGAGAAGCACGAGTGGAGGTCGTGCTTTCTCAACCTTGAATGCACATCAGACTAACCCGGGGAGCTTTTTAAAAACATATACCAAGGCCCAGGTCCCCGCGCAGACCAATTAAGCGCGAATACTAAACGCGCGGGCCGCGTAGCCGCCGCCGCCACAGCCCCACCTGGGAGCTCGTTAGAAATACCGAAGCTCGGGCCCCACCCCAGACCCACTGAGTCAGAATCTGCATTTTAACGAGCTCCCCAGTGACTCGTGCTCGCATTAAAGTTGGAGGAGAGCTGTGCTTCTGAATTTTTAATGGGCGAACGAATCACCTGGGGATCTCGTTAAAATGCAGACACGGTTTCTCAAACTTTAATGTGCATGCGAATCACCTGGGGGGGGTCTCGTTAAAATGCAGATTCTGATGCGGCGGGTCCGGGGTGGGGCCCGAGAGTCTGCATTTCTAACGAGCTCCCAGGTGGAGCGGGCTGCCCGGAGCCCGGCAGTCAGTCCCCGGGACCCCCGGGGTCCTGGCTCCAGGCCAATCAGCCGTCAGGACTGTTGACAAATCGCCCCGCCGGGCTGATGAGCAGAAGCGCCGCGACATGCGCGCTCCCGCCGAAGGGGGGTAATTTCCGAACTCCGGGAAACCGTCTTGTGAAGTAGGCCACTCCTAGGGACTCGCCCGGTAGCCGTCCCCACGCCATGTCGCGGCGCAAGCAGGCCAAGCCCCAGCACCTCGAGCTGGCGGAGGCGGCCCCGCAGGTGGCGGGGGAGCCCGGTGAGTAGCGCAGCGGATGCCCCGCCCGGGGTCTGGGGACAGCTTCTCGGACGTTCCTCGGACTCGAGCGGGTTACAGGGACGGGGAAGAGGGCCTGGATGGGTGGCGGAAGCTTCCGACTTGAGTCCTGGGGACTCTGACCTGGGCGCCTCGCCGCCCCCCGCGCCTTTGTGAATTACACCCCCTTGTAAATTCCACCCTTCTCGGGTGAACCGTGCCCCTCCCAGCGTGGGTTTCTCCAGCCACTCCCCCAAGCGCTAGTCAACGACAGTTCGCCTCCTAACCAGGCTGGAAAGGTGCTCTCAGGCCCCCTCGGAGACGGTCTTCGGGGTGCGCGGACCCCGAATCTCCGGCCTCGGTGGCCCTGGCTTCGGCTGCGCCCCTGAAAGCCGGGCGCCCTGGCCAGGGTGGGGGCACGTTTCAAATGGAGTCCAGAGGGGACCTCACGAGGAGAGGACCTCGGAAGAGGGACCCGGAGGATGTGAGGGGGACAGCTGGAGCCGCGGAGGTAGCGGGGGAGGGACGTCCCGGGCGGAGGGAGCGCGGGCGCGGAGGCTCCGGCGTCCGCGCGGCTGGAGCCTGGAGGAAGTCGGGGAGGTCCGAGAGGTGATGGGAGCGGCGGAAGGGGGGGGTCCGGGGAGCCTGAATGAGGACTCTGCATCTCAGTGAGGTGGGGGCTGGTGGGGGGGGCGGTAGTGACACGGTCGGGCTCTGCAGGTCCCCTCGCTGTCTCGTGGACACAGGCTGAAGGGGGTCGGGACGCGGCTGCGAGACCCTCGGCTACCCTAACCCCAGGGCAGCACTTCTCACCCTGTGGTCCCGGGATCCTCCGCCTCCGGAGAGCCTGCGGGAGGGGAGCTTTTCTAATCAGCCGAATTCCTCTGTCACCCTCGGGCACACACCCTGATGGAGTCTCGGGGGTGGGGCTGGGGAATCAGCATGTCTAAGGCGCTTCCCCTTCTTCTTATCTTGCTGTGATTAAGACAGGGCAGGTTCCTGCTTTCTCTTCCCCCTGCCCTCCCCCAACCCCCGGGGGTAACCGAAAACCTTTCCCTAAAGGAAGGGGGGAAAAGGGGTTTAAACGGGCCTCCCCCCCCTCCCCCGAAGTTTCCCGGGAACGAAAAGGGCGGGGGTAGTGTGGGGTCCCCTCTCCGAGGAGGCTCACACCTTCTTGGGGGGCGGGGGGAGATGTGTCTGTGTCTCTTTGGAGCCAACTTCAGGACAGCCCGGTGGGCTTTGATCACGCCTTCCTGCGGGGGACGTGGGAGTCGTTTAACGAAGGCTCTCCTAAACGAATAGTCCATATTTAGAAATCCCGTTTGGATGGAACTACCATAACTGAAGTACTAGACCCCCGCTGTGCCCGCGGCCTAGAATGGGGGTAGGCGGGTTGGAGCTATGCGACCCTCCCGGGTGAGGGGTGGGGCTTTAGCTGAGCCTCTGCGTAAAGGGGGTGTCGGGTCGGGGAGTACTAAGGATGCTGAATGTTTTGGGGAAAGCGCTTATAGAGCAAATGTTGGATAACCAAGGGCTGGAGTGCAAAGTGTGCACACTAAACTGCTTATTCTTGATGACAGCGCTTGGAGGCGCCTTCTGGAATCGTGCCCAGTGTCGCGGGGTATAGGGAGGGTGTTGGCCTTCTGGGGTACGCCTCCCTGTGGGAGCAGAACGTAAACCATGCCCGCCCAGTACTGTGCCTCAACCCCAGGTGCTGCTTTGGAGGAAAAGCAGTCTTCCAACCGATGTCTTATCCTAGCATCTCAGGTCTGTGATACCGAGCGAGGAGCCACCTTTATTGTAAGGTTGGGCCGCTCTTAATTTACAAGTGGCTTTCCAACTCAAGTAGATTGTTTCTTGGAGGAAAACATAATGAAAAAGGTTAATCGGTGGACTTCCCATCAGCAGGAAAATTACCACCAGGAAGACGACCTTACCCTGGAAACCCCAGCCCTTTCTCAAGGAGTTAAAATGCTCACTGTCCTGAACCTAGTTGGTTTCTGACTGTCAGATGTGGCCCACCCCCGCTTCACACTCAGAGTCTCTCCCCCAGCTCTACCTTTCTGAGTGTGGGCTTCAGACCTTTCTTGGCTTCCTGTATGTCCAAAGGTGAAAGAAGATGTGAGGCCCCTCACATCACAAGCTCTACCTCGATGGTCTTCAGTGTCTGGTGCCATTCTGATAGCTTTAACCCACGGGTCTTCCTTTTGCCTGTTTGCATCAAAAACATTTCCCTTCCCGTGAGAATCTGGTCGTTTTGTGTGTACATCAGTGGATGACACTAATAACACTTACATGGTGCTGACTTGTGCACAAGGTTCTTTCACATCTGCTAAAGAACTTAATCTTCATCTTAGCCTATGAGGAAGAGGCCATAATACCCATTTCTTACAGATGCGGAAACTGAGGCACAGCAGTTGTAACTTACCCGGGACACACAGCTAATACGTGGTAGAACTGAAATTTGAAACTTAGCACCTGGCTTCCCCTTTGGTTCCTTCAACCACTGTTTATACAACCTCATTTAGACTCTAGTCTTGCTTGGCTTCTGTGGAATTAAAAACCTTGGGGTTTGTTTTCTCTCTTACTGTGTGAATTGCGGAGTGGTATAAGGCTTTGTTTGTGTCTTGCCCCCAGGGGCACGGCAATGGGCTGCAGTTTTGGCAAGTGTGGGTTCTAACCAGCTGCAAATTTCCAGCCCTGCCACCTTAGGCAATCCCCTGGGCCAGTTTCTTCCTTTTGCACAGAGCAGCAGCAGCATCAACAGAACGCATTAGAAGTGAAAAGTCACTGGCTCTACCCCAGACCTACTGAATCAGGAACTCTAGAGGAGCACCCCGGCCGCTTGCCTTTGTAATAAGCCATCTAGCTGATTCTGATGCACACGTGTTTGGGAACCACTGGCTGCGGGTTGTGCTTCTCAGACCTTAATGTTCACAGGAATCGCCTGGGGGTCTTGTGAAAGCACAGACTGACTCTGCAGGTCTGGGGTGAGGCCTGAGACTCTGCATTTCTAACAAACTCCCAGGCAATGCTGGTACCCTGGGGACCACCCTTTGAGTAGCAAGGATCTAGAGTAATGTGACAATCACCCAGCAAGTGCTTTAAAAATGCAGGTCCCTGGGATCTACCCACCCCCGCTCCAAGTCTCCAGCGAGTCTGGGCTAAGGCCTGGGAAACTACCTAACCCATGACTTAGGTGATTGGGACATAGGTGATGTCAGGATTGCATGGGGGGAAAGAACATTGGGAATAGGACTGGTGCAGGCTCTCTCAACCCTGGCACTGAGACATAGGGGGCCACATACTTCATTCTTATGGGGGCTGTCCTGTATGCCATCGCATACTTAGTCGCCTACTGGCCTCTACACACCAGTTGCCACTATCACGCCCATGAGTACAAACAGGATCATGACAGTCAAATGTCCCCAGGTATTGCCAAATTTCCTCTGAGGGCAAAATGGCTCCCGGTTGAAAGACATTGGACTAGGTCACGTTAAGGGGTTTTAATCACCACGACTACTTGGGTGTGACATCTACAGCTCTACCCAATTGGGACATCTGAAGCTATGTAGTTACAAGCACTTACTCAACTCAGACCGGGCACTGTACTGAGAATTTACTTCATCTCCCTTAACCACAACTGAGGCACATAAATTATCCCCCCTCTTACTGATGAGTAAACTGCTCAGAAAGGTTGAGCAGCTTGCCAGGAGTCACACAGCTAGCACATTAACTGAGCAGACCCTCTGCCTAGAACTGAAGCTCTCACCAAGGTGCTCTACAACTTCTCATGGCAAGATTTCTTTACCCCCTACGAACATTTCAACAAGGATAGAATCTACCTCTTACGATCTAGGGCCAAAAAAGTCCCAGACCTTGGCCTCTAATTCATAAACTAGTCAATTATCTCTAAGACTTTAGTCATAGCACCTTTTTTCTCTTGGATTTAAGTATTTGGGGTGAGGCACTTTAGAATCTTTTAGGCATGTTTAGTCTCTGCTATAGAAATTTTGAAGCCGGCCTAGCATGGTAGCTCATGCTTGTAATCCTAGTACTCTGGGAGGCCAAGGCAGGAGGATTGCTTGAGCTCAGGAATTCGAGACCAGCCTGACCAAGATGAGATCCAGTCTCTACTAAAAATAGAAAAATAAGCTAGGCGTCATAGCACTTGCCTGTAGTCCGCACTACTCGGGAGGCTGAGGCAGAAGGATCGCTTGAGCCCAGGAGTCTGGGGCTGCAGTGAGCCACCATGACACCATTTGCACTCTACCCAGGGCAACAGAGTGAGACTCTGCTTCAAACAAGATTTTGAAGCCCATGTATTAGATTGAAATATGAAGTTATTTGACCATTTTGGCTGACAAAAATAGCAATTTCACATGGTTCAGCCCCCCTAAAGGGGAATGACATAGTGAACTATTGCCCAACTGCAACTAACTGCACATGGCCAATGGTGTTTCTCGTTATCCAAACTATTCCCCTGCGCTGGGTTATTTTGAAGAAAAACACTTCATACAACTTGTTGCTATTTCAACAACCATCCCTAAGCCATGAGAATACTCTTTAAAAACTCTTATTTTCATATGAAAAAATAAGAAACCCTTATATCACACTTCTGGTTTGAGCAAACATGCTTCCCATTGTCCCAAATGGTTTTTACGATGTGTTTAAATCAGGAGCTGAGTAAGGTCCCAATATTACAGACCCCCTCTCAAATCTCAGTCTCTGGTTTTCTCCTCCATCTTTCAAGTTATTTGTTGAAACAACTGTGTTTTATCCTGGAGATCAGTGATGTGTGGTCTGTGACCTTTTTGCCGAGTTGAGGCAAAACAAATCAAAAATTGAGAGTAAGCATTGGGGAAAGAAAAAATAGCAATTTGACATTGCCATGGCATCCAGTTTTCTGTTGTATTTAATGTTTGGGCTTTTTTGTGTATGTTATTTTACTTTTCTCCTAATTGATGTTTATTGTATTTTACAAAAGTATTAGCCTGGGATGGATCAGAAGTTGTTTGGAAAAACCTGTCTTCATGTTGTTTGAGAAGCATTCAAACGTTGTGAAGTTTTTTAGTCTCGATTTTGCCAGTAGTTTCCCTGTTGTGTTACCATGTTTTTCTGTCCCCTGTATTTCCTGGAAGTTGTACTTGGAAGATGAAGACTTTGCAAGACTAGAATGTTATGGGGCTTTTTTTTTTTTTAAACTTCTTAGAGAAGTGACAAAAGGAGGTGAAATAAGCCCAAATCTACTACAGTCTAGACTTACCATGGTGGTTATATTTGAGAAACTAAAACTTCATTTTCAATTTCAGCATCAGAGCTAGGTAACGATGTCCCCAAAGCAACCAGCCTCTCTGCTGAAAGCAGCGACACTGAGAAGGTCTCTGTCATTGCCCTTCCCTCAGAGACGAGGGAACAGACAGCCACCCTGGGAGAGAGGACATTCAACTGTTGCTATCCAGGTAAAAAATAAAACAATGCACTGAGCCCCTTCTCTGTGAAAAGCACCGTTTGCAAGCTCTGCATGAATTGCCTCACTGAATCCTCACGTTACTCTTGTGTTCACAACACGTGGGCATCTACGTTAGCACACACACCTTCCCTGTGCGTCCTGAGAGTCGTGTAGCTTCCAGAGCTCAGTGTGTGACTCACCAGAACAACAGGTTCATAGTAGCTTCCACTTTGAGGCTATGTTTTAAGAAGAGCTGTATTTTCTTCTCTTCTAGGTTGCCACTTCAAAACCGTTCATGGCATGAAAGATTTGGACCGCCATCTAAGAATCCACACGGGTAGGTATGCATTCACTTGCTCAACGGTTCAGTAAGAAAACAAGGAGACAGGTATGAATTAAGTGCTAGGTATATAGTGCTGAGCAGGACAGTCTCTGCCTGCTCTGCCCCATGGAACTTAGTCTAGTGGAACGGGCTTGGGGGAGGGCCAAAGGGGTATGAAATGAAGAGGTTGACAGAGGATGAGCTACAGAGAGGCCTGTAGCCACAGGAACCTTAGAGAAGAGCAATAAAGTTGCTTCCTCTAAAGGTGCCTTTTTTTAGGGCAACCGGCTGCTGAGAAGAGAGAAATAAGATATGCGGAAGCAAGGAATGCCCTGACCTATGCCCGATCCTATAGTCTGCAAACTGTGGCCCGTGGGCCGACCGCAGCCTGCTGTCACGTGCCTTTGTTTACCTATTGTCTGGGGCTGACCTGGTGCCCTGATGGCAGAGTTGCATAGTTGCTACACGGACTGTATGGGGTGCACAAAGCCTAAAACACCCAGACCTTTGTAAAATGTTGCCAAGCCTTAGTCTATAGTATAAACTCTCTACTTGCCCGCGTGAGCAAGGATATTGGTTTGTTTTCACAGAAACCAAACTCAGTGGCTTAAACGTAATCGCGTCTATTTCTCCGGTACAACTTCAGAAACAAATAGTCTACAGCTGGTCAGAGGGCTCTGCCAGCAGGGTCCAAGGCAGCTGCTCCAGTTCCCCGAATCTCTTAACCAGTGGGGAACAAGAAGTGGGGCCTGGGGAGCTCTCAGCACCCCTCCCTCGGGCTATGTATGACACGGAAGTAGCATCCTTGTAACTAGTAGAATAGTGGTACCCAAGCAGTGATGGCTTAAAACCCAACTGCTTCTGTCCTGTGATGGTGCAGGCACGAGTGGTGCAGGCTGGTACGGCAGCTCCATGATTGCAGGGACCTGGGCTCTTGTGTTGCGCTGCCGTCCCAAGGGTGCAGCACTCATCAGCCTGTCCAAAGATGGCTTCCTGCCACCTTAAAGGCACATCCTGGAAGTCACTCACATCACTTGGGCTCATGCCCATTGGGCCAGAACTTAGTCACATGGCCACCCATAGCTGTGGAAGTGAAGGCTGGGAAAACGAAGTCTTCTGTGTGGCCATGTGCCCAACTACAAAGAAGGTTCCATTACCAAGGGAAAAGGGGAGAAATGTATAGGGCCAAATGGTATCTCTGAGCCAGTTACGTGTGGGAGGCAGGGCTGGCGATGTGTGTGCAGGTGATCATTTAAGGCTTGAGCTGGACTACCTTGCCTGATAGGTACAACAGTGGTCCTGAAAGGACAATTTTGGGATCTTTTACACTTAAAAATTGAAGATCTTCCCAAAGAGTTCGTGCTCTATCATAGTTACTGTTATTTGGAATTAAAACTTTGTTCGTCTAAAAATAACAGTAAACTCATGACATAGTAACATTTTAATGAAAAGCAACTATTTTCTAAAGCAAAAAATATAGTGAGAAATGGCATTGTTCATACACTTGCAAATCCTTAGGCCTGGCTCAGTGGGCAGCTGGGTGTTCACACCTGTTCCTGTATACAGTCCATTGAGATATGTTTTTGGTTGACAAGTAAAGAGAACCTGGCCTCTCACATATGATTGAAAATGGAGGGGTATTTTGATAGCATTTTCAGGTAATTGTTTTTTACTTAATACTATACCAAAATGCAACATATGGTAGCTTCTTAAAGATTAGTTGCTGTATGGAATCTGCAACCATGTCAATAAATCTTTCAAACTGTTAAATCCATTGGTCTAGTTTGCCCTTTGAATGAATCTTACCCATGTTTAATTTTGTCACATTGTGCATTAGTCACTTGGAAAATACTGATTTACCGATACGAATTCTTCTAAACGTTGACCCATCTCATTATGCCACAAGAAAAGTCACTTTCATTAATATCTATCTCACTAAAAAAGTCTAAGTACTGGGAAGTCCTGAACTGGATAGCAGACGTGTCTTCTGAAATTCTGTCACTAGAGCCCAAATGTTGTCATTATGACACTCTCGGTAATTTTCCTTGAGATAGCAGGCTCACCTCATTCATTGAAGACTGTCTGCCAAATACTAAATCTGAAAAAGCCATAGTTTATCTTATTTCAAGTCAAATGACGTTTCACAGAGCCTATAGTCCCAGCTACCTGGGAGGCTGAGGCGGGACAATCATTTAAGTCCAGGAGTTTGAGTCTAGCCTGGACAACACAGGGAGACCCCCACCCACTGCCTCTTTTTAAAAAAACAAAAAAACAAAAAAAAACTGCTTAGGGGGAGATCTAGTTCCACTTGCAATACAACTGTCGCTCAAGTGTCCTTTCGAGACAACCAATGTACTTTGGTTTGCAGCAGAAATACCTTAAGTGTACTTCCTGTTCTGTCACATAGAACATTAAAAAGGCTTATTCAGGGGGAGCGATTTAATCAGTTCTAGTTTTACCACTTCATCCAAGATTTTCCTAAATGGACCTGGCTGTTTTCTCTGGGAGCACATGGCAGTGGAGAGAGACTACTGGGAGAGCTGGTGCCACCGCCTCGATCTGTGCTAAGGCTCCAGCAGTGCCTCCCACCACTGCTCCTATGTGAGCGCCAATGTCAACAGGGACAGAGGCAAATCATTTTTTAGTATCATTAGAATGGCTTTGACCACAGACACAACCAGAAGAGTTTTGGGGACTCCCAGGCATTTACCAACTGCACTTGGAGAACCAGGTTTGACAAATACAGCAGGAGGGTGTACAGCACTTACAAAAGTGGCTAAGAACTGGAGCTCCCGTGTGCCTGGTCTGCAGGCTCACCGAGGACTTATTTGGGAGAAGGGGGGAGGGGGGTTGTGAATGCATAAAGCTGGGTTATGATCACATCAGAAGCCTTGGAAAAACAGGCCTTGAACTTGGATTGGTTCTTATTTTTATTACTTTTATCCTAAAGTTGCTGCTTTTTAATACCTTTAAACGGCAGTTTGTCCTGGAGGAAGAAAAGCTAATTCTCAAACATGACAGAAATGGGGTGGGCGGTAGAATGAGAAAGAGCAGGGTAGAAAATGCTTTACTTCTGTTTCCCGTATAAAGTCTTAGAACGGCGACGTTAACAGCAGTAATTTCTGGAGAAAGGGTTTCAAAACAATTTAAATTCTGTATATGGTGTTCTTTGAAGTTTTTAATGACTTCAGTAAAAAAGGAATAAATTTGGATTTGCAGTGACAGAGTGAGTTCCCTTTGCCACCTCTACTTCTACACTACTATGGCTCCGGCTGTCCGGATGATAAAACTCATCTGAAAGAGAAGGCACAAAAGTAGCTAAAGTCTTAGGCAACAAGACCTTTTGCTTTGTTAGCAACTAAAATACCATAGAGCTGTAACTCAGTGTGACACGGGAACTGGCAAAGACGGAGTGTGGAAACAGACCCATGCGTGTGTGTAAACTCACCTGCCCCAGGTGGGCACCGCAAGCCAACGGGAACGGGTGGACGAATGCAATGCTGGGATGAGTTAGACGTCTCTGGCTGTCTCGTGGGACTCGAATTAGTCCGTCACCCCGCCCTTCACAAATTCCAATACACTGAGTTAATCGTTAGTCTGTAACTACCGGGAAATGTAGGACAAACACATGGTCGGTGTAGGCAGACAGGCAAACCACAGAGGAGGAATATCGGTTAAATGTCATTAAATCAAAGTTAAAACTGTGGATAACAAGACACCGTTAAAAAGTTAAAACAAGTGTCCCACGAGAAATGTGTAGCATAGGATGGAATTAATATGCAGAATCCATAAAGATTTCTACAAATCAAAGACAACTAACTGCAGTGGAAAAGGATATGGACAGGCAGTCAACTAAGAAAGATGATAAATATTAGTCACATGAAAAGTCCGTAAGCAACGAAGTGAAAATCAGACACAAATACTATATTTTCCTCATCAAGCTGGCTGAAAAGTACACACTTAAAATCATGAATCACAGAATACCATGTATTAATATCACTGTTAATTTAACCATCGCCCTCCTTCCTCACCTCCCAATGCAGAGAAAAACTTGGTTATTTTTAGGGAGAAGACAGATCAGGGATGTGGAAGGGGGACATAAACTTTAGAGTGCTGACAGGTTGCAAAACTATCTAAACATGAGTTTGGTGTGATCTCCAGGCCCTTTGCTGCCTCTCGTTTATTCTGATAGTTCAAGCTGGTTCTTGTGGATTGCCCAGGTCAACTAACCTATGGAAATGAGATTTCTTTCTGTCCTTATACTTGATCTCTAGTGCCTTGGCTTTGGTGCTTCAGTTCCAACTGAAGAGTAACAGAGAAAGGAAACCAACTAGTTCGTATTCATTGTAATGGAAATGCTTTTCTTTAAATACTATCATGTAGGATTAGAATCCCCCCTGACTCTTGTCATCGAGATCACTTGCCATGTTAAAGTTTATTCTTATTCCTAACCTGAGGATTTTTTCTGGGGGGTAAGGGTGGGGGTTGTTAAGGATGATCATTGAATTTCAAATATTTTACCATTTTAAGATGGTCCTGCAGCATTTATTTAGCCTCATAAAGGAAGTTGACTTCATGCTCGTATTTTTTAATCCCACTTTGTATTCCTTCCCTTGGCGCTGGTATCGGGTATCTATTATAAAGTGAGGAGAGGCGTTTTCAAATCTTTTTCTACGCTATTAAACTGTTGACCATGGCAACACTTTTTCTTAAAAGCTGATAGAACCAGGCACAGGGGCGTACACCTGGAGTGGGAGGAGTCGAGGGCCAGGAGTTCAAGACTTCATTGTGCGATGATCGTGCCTGCGAATAGCCACTGCGCTTCAGCCTGGGCGATATAGTCAGACTTCGTCTTTTTTTTTTTTTTTTTTTTTAACTTTAAAAAAAAAAATTAAACTGTGATAGAACTTGCCCGGGATCTTCTGCTTGTGATTTTTTTCCTTGGGAGCACGAGGAGAGGGCATAGATTAGGCTGAGTTAGCAACATCAAGCTCAGTGACAACTGAAAACAGCTGGGTTTATACCAGCATCCCCCAGCGGTTATGCTCAGCACTTTGTGGCCTTCTCTCCGGGACCCAGCCTGGACCCGTTTCTGTCTGGAACAGCCACAAGAAGGTGTTCTTGACCTATTATCTGCCATGAACTTCTGGCAATTTTGGAAAGTCTATGGACCCCCACCTCAATGTTTTTTCAGATGTCACGAGACATATTTTTTTTAAAACTGCATTTTTATGTAACTATCAAAATGTTAAGTGTGTGATGTTTTCATACGTTAATCCCTTGCTACGCAGTGTGGTACAAAGACCAGAAATGTCATCGGCTGGAAGCTTGGTAGAAATGCAGGATCCCAGGCCCCACCCCAGGCCTGCTGGATCAGAATCTGCATTTGAGACTCTCCCCACCCCCGGCTGATCAGCAGGCGGGTGGCATTGAGAGAAGCATTGCCTTTAACGTCAGGATCTGGTTGGTGTTGACTGACTATCCGAATTGTGAAGTTAAGTGACAAACATACACGACGCTTGAACTGCAGCCAGCGTCATGTGGCACGACCACGTCTTGTGTCTCCTGACGAGGGTCTCGGGCGCTGTCAGTGTGGTTCGTTGCCTGCGTTCATAGTTGGAGCAGTGCTAAGTTAGAGCTGGTAAGAATAAAAACACAATTAGTTCCCATGTAAGGTCTTGGACTCCTTAAATCTCATCCACAGACCCCAGATTAAAAACTCCGGACTTGGAACGTCGTGGGGCACCTTTGGGCAAGAGAAACAAGTGCGACTAACAACACGCTGGCTCTTAACAGCAACTCTTGTCACTTTCTATCGTGTTTCATTAGTTGGAGTAACAATGTACCTCGAGGAGTAGATCTTAACATAATTCGTACATTATCAATCTGTTTTCTGTTTCTTGATTCAGACTTTGTAATTCTACATCTTCCTGGACCACCAGCCATTTTATTGAGTCTTCTAAATTTACTGGGGTAAAGTTCTACTTAACAGTCAGCAATTGACGGGAATGGTGCAGAGGACGTGGTGACAGAACACACTGCCGGGTGGATGTTCGGGCAGGGGGTTCAGTGGCCCAGGTGCTTTCTAGCCATCGGGCCCTTACGTTCTTTCTCTGACCTCAGCACCCTCCTTTACTGACAGCCGAGGGGTAGATACCACGCTGCTTGCTGTTTGGTGGGAGAGAGAGGGGGGATTAACCTGAACCTTCTCTGATTCATCAACCAGTGGCCAGAAAACCTTCTAAGAGGCCAGCACCTGCCACCCTTTATCTTGAACACATCTATAACCAATCCAATTTTCCAAAATGGGGTTTAGCCTATAATTTTCTCCATCCATCTGACTTTAATATGTCCCTTAGGATTCTTCAATTTCTGAGCCATCGATGAATGGCACCTGTCCCTGTTTCTCAGTATGAGGATTTAGACTTTTAATATCTTTCCACATCTGTATCTGGACAGGAGGAGGGAGCAGAATCATATGCCTAGGATGTCACCTTGGTCAAGTTTCTTTAGTAGTCTTGATTGAGAAACCCTTAAAACCCTGAATCCTTATGTGTTTGAAGGAGACAAACCGCACAAGTGTGAGTTCTGTGACAAGTGCTTCAGCCGGAAGGACAACCTGACCATGCACATGCGGTGCCACACCAGTGTGAAGCCACACAAGTGTCACCTGTGTGACTACGCTGCCGTGGACAGCAGCAGCCTCAAGAAGCACCTGCGGATCCACTCTGACGAGCGGCCATACAAGTGCCAGCTCTGCCCCTACGCCAGCCGCAACTCCAGCCAGCTCACCGTCCACCTGCGATCCCACACGGGTAAGTCCCTGACCTGGAAATCTCGGTACTTTATTCTTTCTCCAATTTCCTAACCTTTGTTCACTTAAAACACAAGCAACTTAAATGACAGTGTGGTAGAAGTAAAGGAATTTGGAGTTTCCATGATCGTGAGGCTTGTTTTTTTTTTTTTGGCCAGGACAAAAGCTTTGAGTAAAATATAAAACCCATCTGTCAGTCATAATTTCATAGTTTGACTACGTGGAATCCAGCTGAGGATGGGTACCCAACACAGCAGGCAAGAAGCAAAGAATGTGCCTCATATAATCTGACCTGTAAACTAGGCGGTCCAGTGATTTAATCCACATTCTGATTGCATGGCCTCAGAACTGTAGCAAAACCAGTTGAATGTAATAGTAAATCAAACTTCTAGTTCTAGAAACTTCCCTTCGTGGGACCTCACTGAAATGATAGGACCAACCCATCAAGACACAGAAAAATGGAGATTGGGATATTCATAAAGGAGGCTCATAAGATGAGAATTTTCAATGAATTCATGGAAGATGGCAAGCGGATAGGAATATGCTGACATTTAAAATCGAATACCCAAAGCTGTGTCCCAGCAGCAAATTAGGAGCAGCCACAGAGTTGGGAACCAGCCCTCCCAGCCAATGTCTGAGCGCCCTGAGGGCCCTGGACTTGGGACTGGCATGTAGACAGCCAAGACCACAAAGCTTGGGGGAGAAGCCAAAGCCTCTTGGCAAAACTGCCAACCACCCCAGTAGCAGGTGAAACCCATGGCATCTGTCTAATCAAACCAGTCTACTCTTCCTAAATATAATCAACCAAGGATTATGAATTATTTGCAGGAAATGAGTGAAATAAAATGAGCCAGGTCTAACAAATAACAAATCTTTGAAGCAACAGAGGTACTTGGGGAATAGACAAGAATTTTTACATTCTAATTGGTGTCCGCCCACTGGCAGATGTGTTACATCTAAGTAGGGCTCTATGAAGAGGTAGAACAAAGAGGTATGAATTAAAACTAGGGTTGCTGGCTATAAAACTTCCCAGAGATTAGGAGAAAAATTGGGTTAGTGAACTGAGAATAAGGAGCTGGAATTCTGGTTTCTGACCACCGGGTCTAAGAAGGAAAGAAAACAGAAGTGAATAAAATAAAATAAGAAATGCTATAATTCTAAGGGGCTAGGAGAATGAAAAGGCTCATAAGATGCCAATTAGGGTGAAGGCAGTTGGCAGAGGGGATCTGTACCCAGAAAGGGTAGTATTGGCTCCCACAGCAGTGGAACAGTGCCCTCCAAGTTGGGAAGTGACTTTGAGCTGAGAATTCTATACCCAGTGAAACTATCTCAAGTATGAGCGCAATAGAAAGATTGAGTAAAGGATTCAAGAATTTACTCCCGACCACCATATTAGTGGAAGTTTGAAAATTAATGAAGGGGAAAAAAAATCTGGCATGAGATATTTGTGTCATTATCTGAATATAGCTAATTGGGATTGCAGCAAAGAGAAATATCAGGATGGTACTTGTACAGAAGAGAGAAAATTACATCAAATTCAGAAAATTCATTTTAAAAATTCCACATAAAAGGTTACATAATTAAATGACTGAATGACTTCTGAAATTGTGAGGTTCTTTATTCAAGAAATGTAGTCCAAGAAGCAAGCTATAAAATGTGGCCCAAAGTGAGCATGTAAGAAAAGAGACCAAGTAGCTGAGCATGGGGGCAGGCACCTGTAGTCTCAGCTACTTGGGAAACTGAGGCGGGAGAATCACTTGAGCCCAGGAGTTCAAAGCTGCAGTGAGCTATGATGATGCCACTGCACTCCAGCCTGGGCAACAGAACCAAGACCCTATCTCAAAAAAAAAAAAAAAAAAAAAAACCACAAAACAAAAAAAACTTTGGTAGTGATACTATCCACTGGCCCAGATGTGACAGTGGCCCTATAGGCAGTGGTTATAATCGTGGTGTGTATTTGGCTCTGCTGAATGTCACATTTCCATTCACAATTTAAATTATTTGTAGTTTGATTCTGAAGTTGATCCAAAAACAACTAAAGTTGGGAATTCACAAGACAGAATGGAAATGATTTTTTGAACTTAAATGTGAAAATAAAGCTACTCCTAACAAGTGAGGAAGTCAAGTGTAAAGAGGGAGAGAATCCTCAAAGAACCTCTCAAGCCGACGGACTAAGATGTGAGGCTGTAGCCCAGTTTAGACGGCGGCATTAGAGGAAGAGGAAGACACAGCCGTCCCAGCACAGCCGGAGGCTGGGGACGGGATCTGTGCAGGATAAGATTCTTCACTTATATTCAGCTACTGAAGTGTAAAGTAACAGCCTCCAAGACAGCTGAAAGCCCTTAGCAATGGCTCCAGGGAATGGGACTCTAAATCAGAGGAGGCTGTGGCTTTTCATCACTCGTCCCCAGCTCCTGCTGCCGTATTCAGGTTTTAATTTTATAAATTCAGTCTATAGTTATAAAACTAAAACTTTAATAATACAACCCAATAAAATGACATAATACAGACTAAACACTATCATCATCATGTTCCTAAGTCTTAGCTTAATTTGGAACAGTTGTGTGTAACTTCAATCTCCCCTCTTCTATGTTCAATTCTGAGAAGTCAAGTTAAATGAGAATTTAGATTTGAAACTGCAATGTCAAGAGTGTGGACTTGGGTGCCATGATGCTGGGTTCAAATCCCTGCTGTTTCACCGAGGTCGATTAACTTGTCCCATCTGTAAAATGGGGGTAATAAGACCCTTTCACAAGATTGTGAGGATTGAGGGAGTTAATACCCGCAGTAAGTGTTGTCATTATTAGGAGATGGCAAGTAGTTAGAATTCGAAGGACCCAACCATCCCATTGTGGCCGGGTGTGCTGACATGGTTTGGGGAGGGGGGATCTGTTTTGCCTGCCTGCTCTAATGGAAACACACCTTCCATTGCTAGGGGACACCCCCTTCCAGTGCTGGCTCTGTAGCGCCAAGTTCAAAATCAGCTCGGACTTGAAAAGGCACATGATCGTGCACTCGGGGGAGAAGCCTTTCAAGTGCGAGTTCTGCGACGTCCGCTGCACCATGAAAGCCAACCTCAAGTCGCACATCCGCATCAAGCACACCTTCAAGTGTCTGCACTGTGCCTTCCAGGGCCGGGACCGGGCCGACCTCCTGGAGCACAGCCGGCTGCATCAGGCCGACCACCCCGAGAAGTGTCCCGAGTGCAGCTACTCCTGCTCCAGCGCGGCCGCCCTGCGCGTGCACAGCAGGGTCCACTGCCAGGACCGTCCCTTCAAGTGCGACTTCTGCAGCTTCGACACAAAGCGGCCCAGCAGCCTGGCCAAGCACATCGACAAGGTGCACAGGGACGAGGCCAAGACGGAGAACCGGGCCCCGCAGGGCAAGGAAGGGCCCAGAGAGAGCGGCTCTCAACACGTGGCCAAGATAGTGACCCAGAGGGCCTTCCGCTGCGAGACCTGTGGTGCCTCCTTTGTCAGGGACGACTCTCTGAGGTGCCATAAGAAGCAGCACAGTGACCAGAGTGAGAACAAGAACTCGGACTTGGTCACCTTCCCACCTGAAAGCAGCGCTTCCGGGCAGCTGGGCACCCTGGTCTCCGTGGGGCAGCTCGAGGCCTCCCTGGAGCCCAGCCAGGACCTCTAGCTCCGCCAGAGAGGATCGTCAGCTCTTGGGGATTCCAGACAAATGCTGTTACCCGGCCCTCCAGGGCAAGGCCATGGAGCCAGACTCAGGGCTGCTGCAACTTCAAAGCCTCCAGGGCCATGGCTCAGAGGTGACAGTGGTGTGAGGACAAAGCGATGCCATGGAGATACTTTCCACGTTGCCGTCTTCCCTCCAAGAATTATCTAAGCAAACTGACTTCGTGGCTCAAAGCTGGGGTCCACTGAGCACTACTCTATCCCATGTGTGTAGCTTCTTCGTGATGGATTCCAATTTTAAAACTGATCCATCCCTGATGGAATTAAACCAGTTAGATGACACAGAAAACTTAAAACTTCTCTCTAGTGGGAAGGGGATACGCAGAGGATCTGGGGTGGCTGGAGGAGTTCTATTCCTTAACCTGGGTGGTCATTATGAGTGTTCGCCTTACACATTTGTGTGGTTTCTTATCTGTTGTCTTACAATAAAGGCAAACTCATGGTATTGATAGAACGATGTAGAAGGAACACTCAAGTCTTTGCATTCCTCCACAGACAGGTGATGGGGGGGGGTTCTCCATCCCCCACCCCATCCAGTAACTTCATTATCAGTGCACGTGGGATTTCTTAGTGAGTTAGTGCTGCAGCTGAATGAGATGCCGTGTGATCTGGAGGTGGCGCCAAAGATCAAGCTAACACCAACCCAGCCTGTAACTGTGAACTGTAGAGTTCAAGATCCGGTATGTTTTCATTCATGAAGAAAAGCCCAGGGAGCCCTGGGCGCTTGGTTCTGGAATATGATGTGTGGGACAGCCTCAGACCAGCATCTTTTTCATCACAGACAGCCTTTGGTGTTGGAACCAACAACTGAAAATCCAACCGTCTCACAGATGGACCCTGTACTTGACTGAAGCTTAGGAGGCTATGGAATCTGATGTATCTTATCCAAGTTGCTTTGTTTGCTGTCCTTGGGCATCTTTTTTTTCAAATACTGCCTTTTTTTAAATATAAATTCTTGTGTACCCTCAGGCTAAAAATCTATGCTTTTGAAACATCGAATAGATCCATTCTTCTTGATAAACTAGGAGAAAATATGAAAACAAACTTTTATAGACCATATGCAGGAGAATATCTCACTTATGAAATAGAGGTACATAGCTTATTTTGTTAATGATAGTTTGGACAAATACGACTTCATTTAAGTTTTACAGCGGGTGAATGGTGGCATGTTGAATCTCTGTTGTAAGAAGAAAAGATTAAAACGATGGCAGAGACCCATGATGGAATCCATCATTGCTTTGCTTTGGAGCTATTGTTTCTGATCAGAGCAGTATGTGGTTACTGAAGGCTGGTGCTGTTGTACAGATTCTATTGTTACTTTTCTGCTGTCTGTCATGAGTCTTATCTGTGTTTCTGTTCTAGAAACTGAAGGGTCGTTGACCTTTTAAGTGGGAACCCATAGATCGAAATCACATAAACGTCCCTTGTACTTCTGGTGTTAAAGCTCTTCCGATAAACAGGAAAGATATTTTTGTTAAAGAAAGCATTTTTGTTAACAGCTGCGTGGACTTCACGGGTTTTAGATCCAACCGGGTATCTCCTAGCAAACTTGGATTCCCAATAGAGCCGAGGTGAGCAAAAAACTGTGGGCTAGACATTAAATGTTTTAGGCATTGGCAAGCCGTAAGTCTCTTACGACTACTCAGCTCTGGTTTTAGCACAAAAACAACCACAGACTGCAAGAAAAAGAACATGTCTGTGTTCCAACAAAACTTTACAAAAACAGGTGGCAGGCTGGGTTTGGCCATGGTCTGTAACTGCCCAACCCTGCTGTGGAGTGTTTTGATCTGAATTAGCAGTTGTGACTATGGGACACAGTAAAAGAGACCAAACTTTCTGGCAGAGACGTAAACGGGATTTGGACAAAGGTGAGAATGTAGTTGAAGAGAATAAGGTGGCTGAGATTTAAAAAAAAAAATCTTAAATTTAAGAAAGTAATTAAGATTGAGAACTCAACATTCAGAGAAACTCGGGCTAAGAAGGAAATCTGGGACCAGGAAACTTCTAGGAGTGTAGGGGTTGGTTGGTTTTAAACCTATTTTATTGGCAAGGAAATTAGAAGGTGGCAGTGAGTGGGATTAAAATCATTCAGGAAGTAGAGGGTGAACTGGCTAAACCTGCTGGAATGAGACCCAAAATACACAGGCAATCACCGAATTGAAGTGAGAAAAACAGCCTTACTAGCAAGGGGTTGCTGACATGGTGCAGACCAGAATGGCAGTTTTTATACCAAGCTCCATTTGCAGAGTCGGTCTGCATCTGGAATGGGAGGCTGACTAATGAGTGTGTTTGCAGTTTGACTTCACCTGGGCCAGAGGTCAGCAAACTTTTTCAGTAAAGGGCCAGATAGTAAATGTTAGCTCTGCCAGCCCCGCTCCCTGGCAGCTCTGTTCCCTTCTGCTGTTGTGCCCAACTTCTCCACTCTGCCATTGCAACTATGGATTTAGCTGTGTGCCGGTAACTTTATTTTAAAAAAAAAAAACCATGGTTTGGAAGGCCAGTTTGCTGACCCCTAAACACAAGCACCAGGGTAAATTGGTCATGAGTAAAAGGCAAGGGAGAGGCATTAAGAACACGAGACTTCGCCAGGCACAGTGGTGGGCACCTCTAGTCCCAGCTGCTCAGGAGTCTGAGGTGGCTGTGAGCTATGACCATGCCACTACACCCCCAGCCTGGGTGACAGACCCTGTCTCAAAAATAATTTCTAGGGATGAATGTATGAGTTAACTTGATGGTGTTGAAACTCCAAGGGGATTTCAGCCTAGGTTCAATTGCATCCAGTTTTTGGGACGAGGATTGCCAAGGAAGAAAGGAATTTAATACAATAGCCGTTGTTGCGAAAATGGGAGAAACTGCCTCTCTAACGGAGATCTGGGCTTTTTAAGGAGGGGCCAGGTGCCTTGGGCAGGTTGAGGGGATGGTGAATCCTGGCTTCAGGGAGTCTGCCCTGGGGTCTTCAGAATCTCAGTTCCTTTGTCTTGCAGAAAATCCATCGTTTCTGGGAAATAACTCAAAAGTTCAAGCAGTTAAGAGAGAGGATTATAAAGACCATATAGGGGGTCACTGAAATTTGTTCATGGAGCTGGTTATACCGCAGATGCGGTCCAGGTCAGGTGTTGAGGAAAGAGAATGACTCCGTGTGGGCTTTATTCAGATCAGCTATAACATCTCCAGTGAAGAATCCAGAAATCAATGGGGCCACACTTTTGCTTCTCTGCTTAAGGGTTCTTGCTGCCTTCTGGGTGCTATAGAACATGGTTTTTTAATTTGTTCCTGTTTTAAACTACTTCTGTGAAAAAGCATGGGCCCTAATTTCTGATGCCATCACGACTCAGTGACACCCTGGAACGCTCAAGTCCTGACTCTGAGCCAGGTGCGGTGCTAAGAACTTGACCTGTGCGCACTGGTCGTGCCGGTTTGGTTCTCCTGGGTGCTGCTGCTGTCCTGAGCTGGCACTAGGGGGCGGCACTCTCCTCGGGCATAAGACTTAAAGGGGAGCATCAAAAACCTTAGTCAAGGCCGGGCGCGGTGGCTCACGCCTGTAATCCTAGCTCTCTGGGAGGCCGAGGCGGGCAGATTGTTTGAGCTCAGGAGTTCAAAACCAGCCTGAGCAAGAGCGAGACCGTCTCTACTAAAATTGGGAAGAAATTAATTGGACAACTAAACATATATAGAAAAAATTAGCCAGGCATGGTGGCGCATGCCTGTAGTCCCAGCTCCTTGGGAGGCTGAGGCAGGAGGATCGCTTGAGCCCAGGAGTTTGAGGTTGCTGTGAGCTAGGATGATGCCACGGCACTCTAGCTTGGGCAACACAGTGAGACTGCATCTCAAAAAAAAAAAAAACCCTTAGTCATCAAATATTTTAATGCAATATCATAAAATTGGCAAGCTATGGGTCTGTGACTTTCAAATTTTATCAGAAGTTGGCCTGCGCATAGGGCCAGGCAGGGCCGTGCAAGTGTGCAGTTGAAGCTGATGTTTTGCTCATTCTGGATTTCTTTTGCATTAGTTTGAGTTTTTTAAAAATTGCATTATGGTATTTACCTTGATTTACTGAAGTTTGGGACATCACCATAAACTTCTGCCTGAGGCCACCTCCTCTCCCACCACACCTAGTCCCTGCCCCTCTTTCAAATGCGGAAACTGAAGCATGAAGTGGGGGATGAAACTTCCTAAAAATGAAACAACATTGCCCAGTAACAAATCTGGGCTGGGCTGATGACAGAACAATCCGAGGGAAAGCTGCCTTTTAAAAATATTTAACTGGCAAAGACTGTGTTCAATGTGATGACTTGGTATCCACAAGCCTTGTGGAATGACCATCGCAGATTAACAACTGTCACCAGCCAAGCTGGGCCTTAGATCCCAGAACTTGTTCGTGCCTAACTAAAACTCTATACGCTCTGACTCCCCAGCCCCTGGCAACCACCCTTCTGCCCTGAGAAGCCAACTTTTGTTACAAGCTAATGGAGTTGGAGAAGGAGGTGGGAAAACCCTGCCTCATCCAGCTAGAGATGGATGTCATCTGATTCTCAGTTTGCTCATCTGTAAAATGGGTCATGTCAGGCACTTGGCCTAATGGAAATCTAGCTCAACAAAACAGGAGTTGGCTTACCTTTGTCACTTCTTTTAGGGGGAGAATAACCAAGAACTAGCACTTTGGCCTTACATTTGGCAGGGATCGTGGCTTGCTTCTTTCCACACACCCACCCCACGTGTCAATCAGGACAGAAGGGAGTGCCTCCTTCCCGTAACACTGCTGGAAAGTTGCACACAAACTCCTGCTCACCTCCCCACCTAGTCACATACTGTAGCCCTGCTAAAGACTCCGGGAAGCAGATCCCTCTGGAGTAGGCTGTGCTGGTTGCGACCTGGAAGGAAATGCTGGACCAATGACTGTCCTCTGCTCTCTGGGCAGTAATGTGGGCTCCTTAAAGGATGGAAGTGGCTTTCCTGTGGAACACCTGGCACGGGTACTGGAGACCCTGATGTATTCCTCATGCAGGCATTTCTGTCTCATCAGGGCTTTATTGGGACCACCTCTGCCTGCTCCTTGTGTGTGTTGGCCTATCACAGTCTTGCAAGGTAGTCTGCACCTCTAGCCCAGTGGTTTTCCACCATGCCCGCCTGCTGCAGTCCCCTGGGAGGCTCCTTAGTACTTGAACTCTCTCTCTGGAGAAAGGGGCCTGGGCATTTGTACTTTCTCAAGTTCCATGGGTGATTCTAACACGTAACCAGGGTGGGAAGAGCTGCATTGGTTGAAGAAGCTGGGCCATCTTCGTGAGCCGGTGCCGTCACAGAGGGCTTTG